TTGGGAATATTATAGTGAACATTAATGATGTGGTCCATGCACTTTGCCTGGCAATCAGTCACTGTGTGTGTATGATCACATTTAATCCCAAGGACTCTGACATGGAGGTTATTCCTATTTTACAAATGAGGACCTTAAGGCTTACAGTTAAGTTGTTTACCTGTTGCCATTTACATAGCTAGTAGGTGGAAGTTGAACTCCAGACCCTTTTCCTTAAAGCCATGTTGCATACTTGTCATAAAAACAAAGAAAACCAGGTCAGTCCATCACATCAACTGACTAAAAAAGAAAAATCACGTGGGCATATCAATAGATGCAGAAAAAGCATTTGACAGAATCCTATACCAATATATGATAAAAACTCAATAAACTACAGCCTGAGGGGAATTTCAACTTGATAAAGAACATCTATAAAAAAGTCTGCAACTAACATGATATTTAGTGGTGAGAAACTCACCACATGATATTTAGTGCTTTCTAATTGAGACTATTTTGTAAGGCAAGGATGTCTCCTTTCACCACTTTCAACATTCTATTGGAAGTCCTTGCTAATGCAGTAAGGCAAGAAAAGGAAATAAAAGGTACAACAGATTGAAAAGGAAGAAAAAATTGTTGTTCACAGATACATGATAGTCTGTGTAGAAAATCTGAAAAACTCAACAGAAAATCTGGAACTAATAAGCAATTATTGCAAGGTTACAGAATATAAGATTAATATTCAAAGGTCAGTTGCTTTCCTATATACCAGTCATGATGCAATTTGAAATTAAAAACACAATGCCATTTACATTCACACACCAAAAATAAAATACTTGGAGATAACATTAACAAAATATACAAGATGTATGTGAAGAAAACTACAAATCTCTGATGGGCAAAACTGAATAATTAAATAGAGATTCTGTTTTTGTGGCTAGGAAGGCTCAATATTGTCAAGATAAGATAATCAGTTCTTCCCAACTTGATGTTTCAATTCAGTACAATCCCCATCAAAATTATAGCAGGTTATTTTATAGGTATCAGAAAACTGATTCTAAAGTTTATATGGAGAGGCAAAACACCCAGAATAGCCAACACAGTATTGAAAGAGAAGAACACATTTGGAGAGGACTGGTGCTAGTCAACTTTAAGATTTACGTTGAAGCTACAATAATTAAGACATTGCAGTTTTGTTGAAAGAATGGACAAATCAGTGCTACAGCATAGAGAGCCCAGAATAGAGCCCTCCCAACCCCTCACCCAAATTCTGCCAACCTTTTTTACAAAGGATCCAAGGCAATACAGTGGAGCAAAGACAGCCAGCCTCTCTAACAATCTGCTGGAATGGGACATCCACTTGAAAAAGGAATGAATTGAAACAAAACATGCTACAAAATAATTGGATCATAGACCTAAAATGCAATATCTATAAAACTTTTAGAAGATAACATAGAAAACCTAGATGATTTTTTGTGTAATGATAGCTTTTTTAGATGAAACACGTTAGACACAATCCATGAAAGAAATAGTTGATAAACTGGGCTTCATTAAAATTAAAAACTCTGTGAAAGACAATATCAAGAGAATTAGAAAACAAGCGACAGACTGGGAGAAAATACTTAAAAAAGATTCATGGGGTAAAGGACTGCGGAAATGGACTGGGGAAAGTGAAACTGGATAAGGTGGGGAACAACCCTGTTAGAAGTATTCTCTGTTTCACAAGCCATAAAGCCCAAGTTGTAAATGCAAAGAGCTCTTTTTAAAACTCAGTAGTAAAAACAGATGACCCTATTAAAAAATGGTCTGAAGACTTAGAGACCTCACTAAAGAAGATACACCTATGGCAAATAAACACATGAAAAGATGCTCCACATCATACGTTATCAAGGAATGCAAATTAAAATGACAAGATACCTCTTCATGCTTATCAGAATGACCAAAATCTGGAACATTGACAACCATAAATGCTGGTGAGGATGTGGAGTTAAAGGAACTCTTTTACATTGGTGGTGAGAATTCATATATAGCCACTTTGGAAAACAGACAGTTTGTACAAAAGTAAGTACACTTTTACCATATGATACAGCACTCACACTTCTTGGTAATTACCCAAAGGAGTTGAAAACTTAATGTACAAACAAAAACCTGCACACATATATTAACAGCACCTTTATTCTAACTGTCAAAACTTGGAAGCAACCAAGAGTCCTTAAGTAGGTAAATGGGTAACTGTGGCATATCCTGGCAGTGGAATCTGTTGGTTTTCTTTGTTTTTTTTTTTGCAGTAAAACAAAATGAGCTATCCAACCATGAAAAGACATGGAAGAAACTTAAGTCCGTATTACTAAGTGAAAGAGTCCATTCTGAGAATGTTAAATGCTGCATATTACAATGATGTATATGGTTGTACATTTGTCCACACCCCACTGAATGTGCAATATCAAGGGTGCATCTTTAGGTTAACTTGTGGACTTTGGCTAATTATGAGGTTCATCCTTGCTAATAAATGTAACGCTGGTGGAGGATGTTGATAATGGGAGAGGCTGTTCATGTGTGGGGCTGGTGCTATGGGAAATCTCTGTTAGCTTCCTCTCAATTTTATTTCAACCTAGAACTGCTCTAGAAAAGTAAAAACAAAAAAAACTAGGAAACATTTTTATTGCTGTTAGCAAACAAGTAATGTATAACAATGGTTCTTAAACTTTAGCATGCATAAGAAGTACCTTCAGGACTCGTTAAAACTCAGTGCTGAACCTTACCCTCATTTATTCAGTAGGTTGGGGGTACATCTGAGAACATGTATCACTAACAAGTTTCCAAGTCTAATGCTGGTCTAGGAACCACATTTTGTGAATTTGTAAAATACCTAGTTCTGTAATCATGTCATTATATAAAAGTGCCACACTGACTCTTCTATACTTAGATAAGAAATTAGACTTGATGCAAATATGTTATTAATGTGGCTTGATACTATGTATTTATTTTTCTCGTGCTTGTATTTCTCTTGAGTATTGGCTAATGAGTCAAAAATTTTATAGATAAGGAAATGACCTATGAGTAATTTTTTTACTGTTTTGGTATTTGGTACAATACAGCTTATTAATTATGAATTTAAACACAAAGTAGCATAAAGTTTATGGTTAATTTGGATTGTTTTGGAATTCTTGAGATGCTTTGATCAAGTGTTTTCTGCATACACTTTCATTTTGATAGTTGCATTCAGCTTACTTGTAGTGATTGGCTTAGGTCAGCTAGTATTTATTTTAAGTATTAATACTCATGTATGTAAATACACACATACTTAAAATAGGCCAAACAGTTGATTTAGTTATTTTAAATATTAGTGTTTTCACACATATTTTTGTAAATACACATTTTCAAAACAAAATAACAGTGGCTGGATTGTATAACTGCATTTGTTAGAATAAGAACTAGTAACATTTTCTCTCAAGGATTTAAATACATGACTTAATCTTATTTAACATTGGGAGACATTTCTCATTCTGTAGAATTTGCATTTGAGCTCATTGTTGTAGCCACTGAAGTATATACCTAATTTAATTTTAATGATGGTGATGAAGATGAGTTGTCCAGCTCATCTGTATGAGGTTCTAACTTTCTGAAGACCTGAGTTATCTGAATGAATAAAGGTCTGTGAGTGTTGGTTTTATTGCTGTTAGCAAACAAGTAATGTATAACAATGGTTCTTAAACTTTAGCATGCATAAGAAGTACCTTCAGGACTCGTTAAAACTCAGTGCTGAACCTTACCCTCATTTATTCAGTAGGTTGGGGGTACATCTGAGAACATGTATCACTAACAAGTTTCCAAGTCTAATGCTGGTCTAGGAACCACATTTTGTGAATTTGTAAAATACCTAGTTCTGTAATCATGTCATTATATAAAAGTGCCACACTGACTCTTCTATACTTAGATAAGAAATTAGACTTGATGCAAATATGTTATTAATGTGGCTTGATACTATGTTTTTATTTTTCTCGTGCTTGTATTTCTCTTGAGTATTGGCTAATGAGTCAAAAATTTTATAGATAAGGAAATGACCTATGAGTAATTTTTTTACTGTTTTGGTATTTGGTACAATACAGCTTATTAATTATGAATTTAAACACAAAGTAGCATAAAGTTTATGGTTAATTTGGATTGTTTTGGAATTCTTGAGATGCTTTGATCAAGTGTTTTCTGCATACACTTTCATTTTGATAGTTGCATTCAGCTTACTTGTAGTGATTGGCTTAGGTCAGCTAGTATTTATTTTAAGTATTAATACTCATGTATGTAAATACACACATACTTAAAATAGGCCAAACAGTTGATTTAGTTATTTTAAATATTAGTGTTTTCACACATATTTTTGTAAATACACATTTTCAAAACAAAATAACAGTGGCTGGATTGTATAACTGCATTTGTTAGAATAAGAACTAGTAACATTTTCTCTCAAGGATTTAAATACATGACTTAATCTTATTTAACATTGGGAGACATTTCTCATTCTGTAGAATTTGCATTTGAGCTCATTGTTGTAGCCACTGAAGTATATACCTAATTTAATTTTAATGATGGTGATGAAGATGAGTTGTCCAGCTCATCTGTATGAGGTTCTAACTTTCTGAAGACCTGAGTTATCTGAATGAATAAAGGTCTGTGAGTGTTGGAAGTTCATAGAATGATTGTGAGAAAGTCTAGCTGCTGTGGCATTAGTTTGTACCTAAAAAATAGTGGCAGTTCTCCAAAGCTTTGGTTATAGAACATAATTGCTTTCCCTATTTATTTTCTATTGGACTTAGCTGAAAGGAAGGAAGAAGCGAAACTCTTCTGGCTTTGTGGAAAAGGGAGAGAGATTTATAGGAGAATGGAGTTAAAATTTAATTTAGGGGTTAAAATTTTTAACTATTTCCAGCTCTTCAGTGAATATTTTAAAAGCTACAGAGTAACAGGCTTTTAGGTTAATATATTAAAATATAAAGATATCTTATGCTACTGTGTTTTTGTTTTTATAGAGAGGATCTGACGAATTGCTCTCAGGCAGTGTTCTCAGTAGTCCAAACTCTAATATGAGCAGCATGGTGGTTACAGGTAAGTGTTACTCTCCTAATCTGTCATTATTTACCATTTTAGGGGCAAAATGCTAAAACTAAAATTTAGTCTGTTTTCATGGAAATGGGTATTAGTTTTGAATGCCTTCTGTTGAAACATTTTAGAGGAAATTTTACCAGAGTATATATGTGTCAAGTGAAAAAACCTGAAGCCGGTGACTTCTGTGGGCAAGTAACTTGTCTGTTTTTTTTTTAATCATGAAAATGGAGCCCCTTTTTCATTCATATTATAAGCCTCCTCATCTTGCCCTGTTTGTACTTTACTTTTGTTTTTAGTTTTTATGTTTGTGTGTCTTAGAATATTTTTACAAAATCTGCTCTTACACACAGGGGATATGTTGAAGACACCTAGCAGATACCTAAAAACACAAATAGTTCCAAAACCTATATGCTGTTTTTTCCTATGCATATGTACCTATAATAAAGTGACACAGTTAAGAAATTAACAATAAAATAGAACAATTATGATAATATACTATAATAAAAGTTAATGTGAATGTGGTATCTTTCTCAAAATACCTCACTGCACTGTACTCACACCCTTCACTCATTTTATCATGATGTGAGATGATGAAATGCTGATGTGATGAGGTGAAGTGAGGTATATGATATAGGCATTGTGATTTAGTGATAGGCTGCTTCTGACCTGTTAGACAGGAGGAGGATCATCTGCTGCTGACTGAGTTGGCCACAGGTAATAAACCACAGAAAGCAAAACTGGGAAAAGTGAAACTGGATAAGGGGGAACAACTGTGTTAAAAGTATTCTCTATTTCACAAGCCATAAAGCCCAAGTTGTAAATAAAAACCAAAAGATTCAACTACATAGTCTTTGTGTGATTTCAGCCTTTTTTTCTTTGTTCTTTCAATATTTTAATTCTTTGACTTGAGTTCCTTTATGTTATCTACTGGGAAATTTAAGATAATGTATTTAATCTTTATAGTTAGGATTTTTTCCTTAAATTGTATATATCTGAAATAACATTGTTGGTTGGTTGTTATGACTGTGTATAAACAAATACAGACCAATTTTTAGACATTAGTTTTATGGCTAATGGACCAAAGATTGAATCTGATGATTGGATTAGTTTGCTGTTTAACTCTACATTTTACATTATTTACCTACAACCAGTGTTCTTTTTTTCTAAATTCTTTCTTGAATCACTTGTTTGAGGAATTAATTGTATTGGGTAATGGAAGGATTGTAAAGGACTGGAAGCATTTTGACTTCCCTTAGGTACATTGTTTATGTATACATATACCTTAGCACACACATAAACATCCCTCAAAGTTCAGCTAAGTAAGAAAACTATAATGAAATACTTGCCAAATAGAAAGATGTGGAGGTGAATTTGTCCGCACATCATATTACTGACTTTCCCATGTCATGATTAAAGGCAAAATCACTAGGCCATGATTTTATTATGCTAAAGTACCATGTACAAATAATTGAACAGATACGCTTAAATGTCTATAACTGTTTTGCCAGTTTAATTTTTTAAGATGGTATTGATAATTTTTTAAACTGGAGAAAGTGAAACTGGATAAGGGGGAACCGTATCAATACATATGGTATTGATAAGGAAATGTCTTAAAAATTAGTGTGTAGAGTATTAATTGGTAACTGGTAATAGCCTTTCCTTCTCCACCATGTACATTCCAAAATCAAAAACTATAAAGTTGAGTAAAATATATGGGACAGCTGTTGTCTGGAACTGATGAGAAGGTAGTACAGGATAATGATCCTTGAGAGAAGGAAAACACATGAGGTGAGTCCCATGATCACTTCGGCTTTCTACCTTGGGGTACCGTACTATTATACCATTGGGAGGTAGAGCCTCAGCAAAGCATAGAGGGCTCACTGAACTGAAGAGACTAACATTGTAATTCAAAGCTGCTCAGACATCTGGGATTTATGGAGAAGAGTCCTGAGAAAATATATTGTCCATGGATTTGGGCATAGGGCTGGGGGCATAGTTTGGTATGGGGATTCACTTCCTTCATAATTTTGAATAATGGCTCTACAGCCTATGTAGAAATTGAAACTTCTGTAGGTCTATCAGAAATGACCTGCTCTTGGGCTGAGACCAGGAATGGTGATTCCAAAGATTGTGCAGTGCTGTGTGACATTGGAGTTCCTGGGAAATTAGAGTGCAAACATCTTGCAGAGTACTCTAGCATTCAATTTAAACTACAGAATGCCCAGGCGTTAAGAGAGGGTATGACATACTATAGTAACTGCCAACTGTAAGACTAAATTAAAAACTTACAAGTATCTAGCCTGATATGACATAAAGGATCATCAGTAATTTAATTGCCTGCCTAAACAAAACAATAACCCCAAAGAAGGCAAAATGATTCAGTCTTCCTCCAGTAATCATCTACAATATCCTGTATACAAAATTATAGCTTATATGAAGAAGTATGAACACGTTCTATAAAAGTAGAGAAGAAGCACCCAATGGGGAGCAGATACCAAAATTTCTAGATGTTAGAATTATTAGACAAGGACTAAAAATACTTTTAAAGTTACAAAAACAAATATTGAGATAATGAGTGAATACATGCAAGAATGTGTTGAGATAACTACAAAGAAAGCAAATAGAAATGCTCTAAATGAAAAATACTATTTGAAGTGAACAGCTAACTGTTTAGGACCAGCAGAAGATCAGAGACAACTGAAAGATTAGTGAACTTGAATGCAGATGAATGGAAATTCAGTGTGCCAGAGAAAACAAAATACGTATTTGTATAACAAAATAAGTATTTGTATAACTGCTTAGTTATTCAACCATACATGTAACTATATTTCCAGAGAAGGAGTAAAAAGAATGGGGCCAAATATGTATGTCATCAAAAGCAGTAATGGCAGAAAACTTAGAAATTTGGAGAAAAATGTCAGTCAGGGTAATTAAAAGGATCACATAACAGTCAAGATATTGAAAACTGATGATGAAGACCAAATCTTACAAACAATCAAGAAAAAGACATCTCACCGAGACACTGCACTTAAAACAAATAAAAATCTAACATGGAATGTAAATGTGTTTAAAGTCTTTCCCTTATAATCCTTTAAATTTCTTTGAAAGATTATATATATTTAAAAACTATGTATTATGGTTTATTATGTATATAGATGTTCATATGACAAGAATTAGCACAAGTGAAGATAAATATAATTTTTACACCTGGAAGTTTCTTAGAATTTACAAGAAATGAGAATATTAACTCTAACATAACTTCTAGGAAGTTAAAGTTACATATTGAAATAATCTCTGAAAAAAGATATAAAGAAATATATAGTTAAAGGACTAGAAACTTGAGAGTGGTGACTCCACATTTTCAAAAATTACTGTGAAGCTGCCGTAATCAAAGTAATGTTATATTGGCAAAAAGATAAATAGGTCACTGAAGAGAATAGAGTCCAGAATTAAACCCACACAATTATGAAAAAGTATGCAAAAATGAAAAAACAACTTGGATTTAAATCTCACACCATTATATAATATTTAGCCCCAAGTGACCATGATGTGAATGTAGAAACTAAAAGTATATCTAGGAGAAAACATAGTCAAAAATCTTTGTGGCCTTTGTTAGACAAGTTTCTTTCCTGTAATCCCAGAAGCACAATCTGTTAAAGAATAAATGGGGCTTGATTGGTTTTAAAAACTCATGCTCTTTAAAGACACTATAAAGAGTGAAAAGACAAGTCATAGAGTGGTAGAACAGCTTTACAAAGTGTATATAACAGATAAAGGACTTTGGTCAAGACTAAGAGTATCTAAATTTTAAAAACCATAAGGCAATAACTCAAATTTAATGAATTGGCAAAAATACTTAATAGTTCAGCAAAAACGGGTGGCAAATAAGCACATGAAAAAGATGCTCAGCTTCATTAATCATCTGAGAAATACAAATAAAAATTAAAGTTAAATAATTTGACCCACCTATTATAAATTGAAAAGACTAAACATACTAAGTGTTGGAAATGGCGTAGAGGAACTGTGTTGCTCATATACTGTTGATGAGAACGTAAAACTGTAGAACTACTTTGGAAAACAATTTGATAGTTCTTAAAAGGTTAAACATACCATATATGATCCAGCTGTTTGACTCTTAGGCATTTACCCAAGAAAAATGAAGGCATATATTAATTAAACTCACATCCATATTTGTAGTAGCTTTTTTGGTAATATCCAAAGTCCAAAACAATCCAAGTGTCCCATCAATAGATGAATGGATAAATAGATTGCAGTTTTGGCATTATTTCCCATTGCATACAATAAAATCTTGGTCATATAGAATGAGCTATTGGTACAAATAGTAGGGATAAATCAATCTCCAAATAGACTGTGAAAGAAGTCAGAAAGGAAAGACTGACTGATTGTATGATTGTATATAATCCTGTATGATTGTATATAAAAAAACACTGGAAATACAAACTAAAGCAAATTGGATTTTGTGGGTGGGGAGGAGCAAGGGGGGAGGGGTTGCAAAGGGCACAAATAAATTTGAGACTGATGGATATATGCATACTTGTGAACATTTTATAAATGTATATGCATAGTCAAAACTTGTCAAATTGTAAACTTTAAATATATGCAGCTTTTTGTATGTGAATTATACCTTAAAAGCCTGTAGAGGTATAAAAATGGAATACTAACAAATATTCTGTTAATGCAGTACAAGAGAAAAAGAACAGCAAAATATTTGACAATTAAAAAATAAATAGCTATATGTGAAACTTAAACCCAGTTGTAAATCTGTAATGTAAATTGATAAAAAGTATCCTAGTCTAATGCAGTAATAATGATAAGCTACTATGCAAGGCCATTGAATCACTTGGAATGTAACTACTTTTAATTGAGATGTATATTTGTGTGTGTGTGTTTGTATTTCAGAGATGTACACAAGAGAGTAAGACTCAAGTTTATCTCATTTTTAAAAATAATGAGGCTTACTGTGTATTTCAGATATTACT